AGAAGGTTGAATTGTTTGCTGGCTGAGAGGTATATCATCAGGGCTGCCAGCAGTTTTCAGCACTTGCATCCCTTTCATACAGAACGAAAAGAGCAGCAGAAAAACGGCAGAGGTTTTAAGACTGAACAAGGAAAAAAGAACTGACAACAGAACGCAGTGTTCAGCTAGCTCATCTGGCTAACGGTAAATGCAGCTTTTTAATACCGAATTTCACAAGCTTGGGTTAAGCGAGTCCGTGCTCTCAAGAGGCTCCAGGATAAGAATTCAGCCGCTGTACCCACAGAGCAAAAGCAATACCTTTCCCTGCCACGGGCGATTCCGCTCAGTCTAAAACAGGCACCCAGCTAAGGAAAAGAACTGAGACCTGCTTGACAAAATATCATTATCTGACTGACAGAAGTCTACTGGGAACTAAACGGAGAATGTACCTTCAGTTCGTAAATCTGACATGGTTTTCTAACCTATGTGGGTTTTTTCCTGTTCACTGGATATGGGCAGCCTTAATAAAATGGAGTGTTAAAAAGGAAGGTAATGTTGACTTTTATCCTTACACCACTTGCAGAACAACCATTTTTATAAAGTCGTATCATAAATTATCATGCTTTTGAATACTAAGTATTTTCAATGAAGTCTGTTTATTACATTGACTAATTTCAATCTGCTCTTTTGTTTTTACAGATCAGGACGTAGTACAATTATTTCAAAAGAAATGATTGATTTTGCTGTCGTATTTACTTTTGATTGCAAAAGTACAATAATCTGTGCTTATCTGTCAGTTTATACCTCAGATCTCATTCATTGCAACGACATCACCAGATTTATTTAATAATTATGAAGCTGTATCTTATACCATAATTTCTATTCGTATGTATTCTAGGACTAATAGATCCCTAATATGTCTTGATTAAAACTAACTTTAACATATCTATTATCTAAAGTTAATTTTAATCATTTCCATCATAATCATTATAACTCTGATACCCACTGTTCCTCCTCTCACGAAGATTAGATTTCTTCCACGTGGATTCTTGATGAAAGCCAGCACTGAAAGATCGACCCAGTCGTCCGTGTTGTTTCTTAGAGATATTGTCTTCACTCTCAGATTTGGAAATTCCTTGTCCTTGTGTTTGAGATTGTTTATCCTGCCTAACGTTTCCAAATGGAAAATTCCAAGGACCAAATCTTTGCCAGTTAAGTCTCTGAAAGGCAATGATGCAATGAAGATTTCCTCCAACCTAATCAAAGTAAGAAGGTTCTTTGTTAAATTTGTACACAGAAAGTTACAACTGTTGAGA